CTTTCCTATAATCTATGTTTAAGGTGCTTGTCTACACTCACATAGCAAAAGACAGGCTCTTCTGCAAGCTAAGTCATATTGAAGATACTGACTTCAGCTGATGCTGTCAGGCCTCAGAGGAGCCTTCCTCTCCAACAATGGAAAAGGCAGCCTAGACAGTTTACCTGCTGCCTTTGTTATTTAGTCCCTAACATTAATTGTGTGCTTTATTTTGACACCACTACCAAACCCTCAATATGCCAAGAAATGGAGGCTAGTAAATGAAAGAGCAACTGGTGGGTTGAGAACTTCATTCATTTAATTCACAGGACTCTTCTGATGTTGTAAGATACCAGGATTTTTCAATCTCACCTGCAGTCTTATTGGGAAAGATTTTCAAATGAAGTTGAATTAAGCCAAGACCATAAGCCATGTATCTGTGGTTTAGAAGGCAGCTGTTTTTCTACCATCTATTCTAGAGTTTTGGCTGTGGCCCTATTCTCATGTTAGTGCCTTCATCAGATTGCCACTTTTCTCCGATGAATTTTTTTTTCAGCAGGACCTCAATTTCCAACCAAGAGACAACCTCTAAGCAGGGTATACTGTTATAGCAGTTGTCTCAGAACTTAGCAGATGTAGACCACCTGCTACCAGTTCTGGTTTATTGTTGAAGCATCTTGTTTCCCAAGGAAGCCATTCATGTTTTATCCCGTACATGCTCTACCTTTTTCTCCCTTGTTTATTATTGCTTCAAGAATCATGTCCATAGGTATGATATAAAGAAGAATTCAGGGTTATATACATAGTTGTTCCACAGGTATGGAACAAGTTGTCTAAAGGTAAGAAAATTCAGTAGCTCTGTATACTTAATTCATTATGATAATCCAATTTGGAAAATTGTCTAAAGGTAAGAAAATTCAGTAGCACTGTATACTTAATTCATTATGAGAATCCAATTTGGAAATTTTTTTCATGGGTAAATGGACCTGAGAAACAGATGAGAGGTTATGTATTTGCTACCATATTCATACAGTTGAGCTTTACCCAAGGAAACAGGGCCAACTTGCTGAGGTTAGTTTGTAGATTACCACAGATGCATCAGATGCGAAAACAAATCCCACTGCTGACGACAGCGTATGTTTTGCATATGGCAAAAATGCCCATCTTTTACGCAGAGGGTTTTCAAGTACAAAAATAATTTCATGATTTTGTAGAGGTTGTTTTTTTTCTTTTTAAATAATACTAATTTATTCATGAAACATTTGGGATTGAACAGTAAATATATAACTTCTAACTCTTCGATTGTTGCAACATTTTTAATATAAGAACTGCACCAATTTGTCTAAAGATCTCTTTGGCTGAGAATCAGTTCTTGATTTGTACCTTGTAATATATTTTTTATCTGTATGGAGCTATAAAATAGAAATGTCGTATCTATAATTTTACAGATAGTGGCCTGTCTTTCCAGGAGCCTTTCCTCCTTTTATCTGGATAAATTTCAGCACAATTTATGCTTTTCTCTCACTGTGGACATTGTAAAATACTGCTTGCCCCTCACAAATAGCTAGAATTTCAGCATAAGCAAACTTGGATGGCTGAAGAAACAAGGAAGGATGAGAAGACTCTTGTGAGGAGTGGGAACAGCAAGTTAGAAACATTGAGAATATCTGTCTCAGGACTGACAACTGGAGCTTTCTAGGATCAATGGCATTTTCACCTCATTCAGGGCAAAATATTGGCACACTCTCTTCATTCAATTATGCTTAGAATCCCACAGCTGAACTTGTTAATGAAATTCTCTATCACAGTTAAAAACAACAACAAAAAAAAAACCCTGAATATGAATGTGGAAGAAAGGCAATTTGATGTTTGCAATTATCGAGGTAAACTCCACGACCTGCTGAATGTATGCAAAATGGACCCTGGATGGCATATATAAAACTGGTATGTGGAGAGAACAACAGCAAGTATTGAGATTTCTTTCTGGTAGAGCAAGTCATCATACAGGATCCCTACCATGAGCACCAAGGAGGCTTCACTGAAAGGTAAGACTTTTGACATTCGCTTGCTGATAACTTTTATATTCCTGTCCATTTAGACTGAACTAGGAAGCAAATGAAATCTAAAAACCTCTAAAACCTAAGGTCTTCCAGCCATCTAATCCTCCAGTAATGGTGAAACCTGTCCCCAGAAGGCAGTTTGATCCCTTTTGCCTTCTATGACTACCTTTGCATTGGGCAGTGTCACAGAAAATTGGCTTGAGGGATGTGACACCTGCATACCAAAAAATTTGGATCCAGACTGGTTTGTTATACCACTCAGAAGGCAATGACTAAAAGTCATTATCCACAAGTCTAGAAGTGTTGTAGCAATTTTGAAGGAAAGGTTTTCTTAACAGTCTTCAGCCTTCCCAGGTTTTCTTATTAATAGTTATTCCTCAGAATACTTTCCTAACTGTAGTATGCACCTTGATCAAAGGGAAGGAGGAAGGCTTACTGCAATATTGTGTAAATGCACTTTTTTCTAATGTAGATGTATAAAGAAACTTATGAAATGATATCATTAGGGATAGTACATCTGATTTATGAAGTACACTTTAATTTAACATTTAAAATCAGTCCAGTGAATCAATATAGGTAACAGGCCAATTTCCAGAACTAAAAATCTCCAAACACAGAAGAGTGTTCTTTGAACAAGTACATTAATTTATCAAATATTTGCTTTCAGTTTTGCCATTGTTTTTCTGTGTATATTTTATTTCACTGAATAAAAATATCAACTGTGTTACATTAATATGAAAAGTTTTAAACAGATGAGGTTTTTGTGATTTTGAATGAGAAGTCCTCTATATCAGTTTCAGAAGCTCAGGAGAAAAGACAAAACTGCTCTCTGATTTCTTAACAGTAGGAAGTTTAGGGTTAAACACTAAACAGCTAAGCAGCACAGCTGCTGGAAATCTTCTGAAGTAACTCCCAGGACAATCAAAACCTTAAGAGAGTGACCTAACCACCCTCCCACAGAATTAATTTAAACTCCAAATGTTTGCAAAGAAGGAAAGGACCTCTGGGAGGAGGAGGAGTAGTGGGGGAAAAAAAAAGAAAAAAGACCAATCTGTTTTCCAAAGTAATATATCTGTGCAAATATAATTATGTATCTATATTTACACTGTGAATAAATGTGATTTTCTTTCTTCCATTTATTACTATGTTATAGAGTGTCTTACAATAGTAACAGACTTCAGAACACAGTGTATACTCCAACACAGGTTGCCCTCTCCTCAATCTCTGTAGCAGGCTCTGCTACACCAGCAGGATGCCCCAGTGGAGAAAGGATGACAGAATTACTATGCTTCCCTCTTCCACTGATTTTCAGCAGCCAGTACAGAGGGTACTCTGAGCCATGTGACAGCACAACCCAAACCACCCAGCATCTGGCTCTGATAGCTATTCCTAAACGCACCTGAAAGTCAATGCGATTCCATTTTGCTTTGTTTTAAACTTGAACAGGTTTGTTGCTGGTGGTCCTTCTGGTGTCCAATATGCTCCTGACAAAGGAAGGAGTGACTTCCTTGCCAATCTGCCCCAATGGAGCTGCCAATTGCCAAGTGTCCCTTGGGGAACTTTTTGACCGAGCAGTTAAACTCTCACACTACATCCACTTGCTTTCTTCAGAAATATTCAATGAATTTGTAAGTACTCTGTCTTTTCCTGAGAGGGAGAAATTACAAGATTGCAATTTAATACTTTTAAAGCACAAACATATGTTAACATATGAAATCCTTCAATAAATAAATATGACTGCTGCACAGAGAGTGAGAGTCACAATGGTGACCAAATCTGTGCATAGTGCTGACCATTGCTAAGATCCCCAACACTTCTGTTATAAGATACCATTTTCTCATTATTCTTTATCTGTGGGACGGGTTTGTGTTTGCTGCATGCCAGTTTCACTCTAAAGACTCACCAGAAACTTTTGACCTTTGCAACATAAAAGCAGTGATAAAAGCAGTGGAACAACAATTAGTTAATATAGTGTTTGAACTGAAGCTCTTATTTGTCTGTTTCAATAATGTCTGTCCTTGCTGATCTGCAGGACGAACGCTATGCTCAGGGCCGGGGCTTTATTGCAAAAGCTGTTAATGGCTGCCACACTGCCTCCTTAACCACTCCTGAAGATAAGGAGCAAGCTCAGCAGATTCATGTAAGTCCCATTTCTTAATGTCATTCAGTGTGAGACAGAGCAGGAGGTGGGGGAAAGAAGGAGAGCCATGGAATAGTGAGGCAGCAGGCAGAAAGACAGGGAAATCAGCTCAATTGGAATTAAAAAAAAAAAAAACAACAACAAAAGGCCAGGAAGAGGAGAACACCAAAAAGCCAAAAAAGCCAAGAGAAGTTGATTTAACATTCACTGATGTTACTAACCATACAGCATGTATAAGTACCAGTAAGTTTCACATCGAACTTTCCTTTTCCTGTATGGTACATTTAGTAACTTCATCTTACTTCCAATTAAATTGCAACTTCATGGTGCAATGCCAGTTACCATGCATGTACAGTACTGAGAACACTACAACTTTTAAACATTATCTTAAAACATCTCTTAGACAATTGCTATATTAACAAACATAAAAATACTTTGCTGTATGTAGGCAGAGGTAAGTAGTTTTCCAGTAACTGAAAACACTGACATTACCAAACAAATGCTGAATTCTTGCTATTACCATTAGGCAAAAGTGGTCACATCATTGTCCAAATACGAAGATTCTAGTGAGAAATACTGCAAAATACACGTAAAGAGAAACACACTACATACATATGTCAAATGTAATAATTGTAAACTTAATGGAAGATGGAGATAGTCTTGTTGAGCCTATACTCACAGATATCATTTGAAAGTTCTCTGGAGAAAAAAAAATAAGCACAGGTGTATAAATAGGACTGTTCCAGGGAGAAATCTCTATCAGTTTCATGGTGGTGATATCTTCGCAATCCCACAGTGTTGTCAGCTTCTCAGTATGTTATTCAGATGTTCTATTGGGAGCAATAGAATTCACAGCCCTGGGTTGTACATCTAGCAAAGAAGACAAGGTTTAATATTACCACTACCATAACCATAAGCTTTATGAATTCCTATTGCCCACAAGAAAGGACAATTTTTAAACCAGACAGTTATTGCTGGAAGCACCATTGTTCAAAGAGGAGGACAGATGAGTTACGAAGTGGCAATAAAAGCTATTTAGTGGTTTACCATAATGTGTATCTTCCAGTCAGTACTAAACTAAAAAAAAAAAAAATCATCAAAAATCAGATAAGGAGTTGTGGATTTTTTTCACAGAAATGAAAGAGTTGTGCTTGCTAGTTTTTAATGTGGAAAGGACTTAATTATACGTTCCATTACAATACTGTACCTGCTTGTGCAAATATTGTAGAACATGCTGACACCAATGACAAACTTCAAAAATGCAATTGCACAGAGGTATCAAAACAGGGCTATAGAGCACATTCAGTGATATGTCCTGGAATAAGTTTTTAAAACACAGTGTCTAAGGACACTGCTCTAAATGTCTTCTAATATTGCCAGCATTTAGCCTTCTTATTTTATCTGCCTTTTCTTAATATGGGTGAGCAGCATGAAGACCTCCTGAATATCATACTGGGAGTGCTGCGCTCCTGGAATGATCCCTTGGTCCATTTGGCTGCTGAAGTACAAAGAATCAAAGAGGCTCCAGAAACAATTCTCTGGAAGGCTGTAGAGATTGAAGAACAAAACAAGCGGCTTCTAGAGGGAATGGAGAGAATAGTTGGGCGGGTAAGTATTAGGTCCTTAATGTTCTTCCAGTCTGCTACTATAAGGAAGCCATGTGCAGCGACAGAATCTCCCTACTTGGAATATGAAAGAAACAGTAGATGTGAACATATAAATGGGAGGCAAAATAGTTGAGTCTGAGAACTCAAGCTTTCTTCTTTCAGCTTTCTTTTCTTCTGCTATCCTGTGATTCTAAAGAGAAAATGTGATATGACTGGCATAGCATAATCCATCATAATGCCAGTCCTGCTTCAGGGAAAGGTGTAATCACCAGGACTGGCAATCATCATTCTATCTCTGAGCATTTTCAATTGGCAACCCTCATTGTTTAAGGATGTGTCTGCATTTATTTTCGCATGTGCATATTTATATGTACGTTTTAGCATATTTATACACATCTATATACATATAGGTATTGCATATAGTTTTGGAAACAGACACTATGATTTAAATGGTTCTGGAAGTCTGAGCTATTGCAAAGATGTGGCATACAACAAACTAATCCTGGTATCTTTCATTTCTATTTTTGCACCATACTGGTTCCTCTGAACTCTGTCGCAGGCTTGGTTTCCCCTACACTTGTAAGGTTAGACTGCAAGGCTGTTGTCTGACAAAACACATACTTGAATACCCCTTGTTATCAGTAATTGATTGAAAGCTTTCCTGAATAAAATCAGCTCTAACTTGTTTATTTTTAAAGGGGCCTCTCTTAGTCCCTGAATATATCATTCTGTCAGTGAGTTAGATGTTGACAAGAGGTTCTGACTTTACTGGTTTCTGCTTAGGCTCTGAATGGTTGAGCAACATTAAGAGTGCCATTATCACTGTACTCACCACTTTTCACTGGATCACTCATGGTCTCTCTCTCTTCTAGTCAGGTGTCTCTTTACTCAGAAACCTTATACCATCTAGGATACAAATGCATTTATCAGTGTAATCAAATACATCTCTATCACATATCCATGTGTAAAAAGGTTGCAGGTGGGGATCCAAGATAATAGTAGAAGTCAGGTGCTGCTACAATTGCCCTGTCACCACCTTCTCATTCACATTATTTACAGAAGGAGGTCGAAGATAAGTCTGGCACGTTCATTAGTGTCAAACCATATTTTTTAGTCATAATAGGTTTATTTTTTTACCTTTTGCTTAAACTAAATAGTAGAGGCTCCATATATATTCTCCTACATGCCTTTACAAAGTACAGCTGGTGGGAAACAAGTATGATACACAAGCACCAATAGGCACAGATTTCCTTCCTGCTATGAAAGTTAGATTTCTGTGATATGAGAAGATTAACGATTGTCTCTTTCAAACAAGGAGACCTAAAGCAATCTTAACCTCAGATACTAACTCACTACATGAGTTCCTACACATAGCTTTTCAACATTAGAGGTCACTGTATCACTCGGTATTTATTTATCTTAATGGTATCTGAGGTCCAGTACATCTGAAGATGCACTACTGAGAGATGTGTCTGATAACATGTTCTTGACACAGCCTGTATGAGAGAGACTGCCTGGGAGATGGGTCAAGACAAATCTAGAGGTGCACACAAACAATTTCTAGGAACAAGTGTTAATAAAGTTTTCAAGCTGGAGGAAACCAAAAATGAAAAGATGTCCCTGATGAGTCCATGCATGAGGGAAGGTTTGGGTTCTCTACAAAGCCAGCTTCTCGTGGGCATTGGTTAACACACTAGTTCTCTTAAAATGCTAGTGAAACACCAAAGCTTTTTCCATATTTTAGGGAAACAAACTGAAAAATCTGACTAATTCATTCAAAACCTGAATGAAGATATAGAACATTATGCATGATAGTGTCAACCACAACAGAAAACACTTTAGAAGCCATACACTATCAAGTAGCATTCTTCAAGGCCAGACTTTTAAATGCTGTCTTCTACCTCCAGTCAGGTTCATTATCATTTACTACTAGTATCACTTTGTGTCTTTAGGTTCATACTGGTGAGATTGGAAATGAAATTTACTCTCAGTGGGAAGGCCTTCCATCCCTGCAACTTGCTGATGAGGACTCCAGACTCTTTGCGTTTTACAACCTGCTGCATTGCCTCCGACGAGATTCCCACAAAATTGACAACTATCTCAAGCTTCTGAAGTGCCGTCTAATCCACGATAACAACTGTTAACAATTAGGCAATTTTAAATTGTCTAATCACTTAATGAAATCATTCATCATGGTGTTCTTCATGCTTTGCCACCTATCATTGCAAACTTCATAAAAAGTCACACTGTACAGTATCAGTATCATCAGTAACTTTCAGGCATGTTTGTGTGAATTTTGGTTGCAACTATTAGCACCATGTTTCTTGGTGTTTTAAACTGTTATCAAATACTTGTATGACAAGAACACACTTTTCTGTCTAATCTCTGCACCTAGTAGCATTTCAATTAGAAACAGGTCATGCAGATAGAAATAAAGATGTTCTTAAAACCAAAAACATATAACACTGAGTGATATTGGTGAATGAAAAATAGCTTGTGTGATTTATACCTTTAAGATCAGTTTCTCTTTTTGGATCTCAGCCTCCAGCTACTGATGACAGGATATCTTACTTGCATCGCTCTTTACACCTTCTCCAAAAAGAGGGGAAATAAAAAGGAGGAACATAAAAAAGCAGATTAATAACCTATTACACTAAGCTACCCTAAACCGAAAGTATGGTCTGAAATCCAATCTACTTAGATCAATTCTTTTACTCTGTACAAAAACTGTCTGAGTACGGGACAGAAAGGTTAAGAAATCCATCCTGGCTAACACAGTCATTGATTCCCCAGGCAATCCATGGTGAAGACACATCCAGAATTTTAAGGACAGAGATACTGGTATATCTATGTCTCTACTGACTGTTTGGAAAAGAGGCACTTCCAAAGTAAGGTTCATTAAATTTGATGTGATTATCTGAGGGCCAAGGAACAAACAGGTTTCAGTAGGTCTCAAAAGATAATGCTGGGCATCCATATCATATCCATCTACCCTTCATATTCCTCACAAGTAATGCAGTGGTTGCAGTTGCTCAGAAAACTTCCAACCTATAAAAAGGCACTAGCTGACCTAAGGTGTCTGCTGTCCTAAACTCAAAGTCCATCCATTCACTCTGGGTAGAGTCACAAAGATTTTAGGCGCTCATTTGAAAACACCATGGTTAAATATTGGAAATTTGGAAAGACTAAAGAAACAGACTACTTTTGAAAAAATCTGGTTTACAGCAAGATTGATGACACAGCAAGTCATAAGCCAAATTACAGCTGAAGCTATTGACCATATCTATAAACTGTCATTGTAAGCCATAAACAAGCTCGGCCTTGGTTTCATCACACAATTTTAGCAAACAGGAGCTTAAATTCTAATCAGCTCCCCATGGGTTTGGCTTCCCACTAGAGAAGCCTGCTGCATTGCCCCAGGTTTGAGCCAGCTCAGAGGAAGAGTGGAAGCCAGAGAAGACGGGTTTGAGGGCTTAAGCCTTTCATTACCACAACAGAATAAGCACAGACATAATAGATATTTACGTAAGAGATTAGATAATACCAACTGCTAGAAAGGTCTCATTTTAGTTATCTCTATAAGAATGCAACAATAGTTGCATTTCTAATTATGTATATATATAATGGTCTTCTAATCTCTTCATGTTTTCAATTATTGATTGCCTCAGGCTTTGTCTGGATAAGTATATACTAAGACCAGTTTTAATATATATAAAACCACCTTTACAGCAAACAAATTCCTTGTAGGACGGTCACAAATGACATGTTGTATAAGCTCCAAAACGCACAAAACTTGGGGCATATGCAACAGTAGTTTAAAAACACGCAGCTGTACACCACACTCAAGGAAGAAAATGGATAAAATTTGCCAGGCAAAATGCAAGTGCCCAGACCAGAATTTAAACTGATCATAACATTCTATTTTTGCTATAATGTCAATGGAGGGAAAAAAAAGCATTTTAAAGGGAAAAAAAAAGAAGAAAAAATGTCCTTTGTAATTATCATAAGTGCTTAGAATTACAGTGTGAGTTCTTACTGAAAAGAAAACAAGAATAATGGGACTAGTCTGTATTGAGCTGGAAAAACGATTATGTCTCGCTGAGTAAACTGCTACCTCAGAATCTCTTTAGAATTCAAAAGCAACTTGATTAATAGGGCAGACATTCATAATTTTACACTTACATGACTAGATCTGAAACAATGACTTTCATTAACTGCTTAAAAATTACAGTGCTAAAACAATTGTTTAAAACTTGCATGCACTGGCTTTATTATAGCCTGTTTTAGTAAAATTATGAGTTTTTAATTTCATAAAGAAAGATATAAGACAATGACAAAAAATATTCTAAACAACTGAAAAGCTATCTGTTTTGCAGCTGTTTAGCTAAAGGAGTATTTAAAAGTGATCTGGTTAATATTCTGAGTCATCACAGCTGTCACAGAGAGAGAAACATAGAATCCTATGAACACTTTCAAAGCTACACCTTCACAGTGAAGTGCCTTGGCATGGACAATTCCTTCAGACTTTGAATGTTCAAGCCACAATGTACGTCAATTGGGAATTCAGTGTTTTTTCAGTTGCTAATAGAACAAAAACATTCTTATCTCACTAATAGGTAGATATTAGGAATCAATTCCTTACTGTGAAGGTGATGAGGCACTGGAACAGGTTGTCCAGTGAAGTTATGAATGCCTCACCCCTGAAAGGAAAATTCAAAACCCAAGGCTGGGTTGGATGGGGCTCTGAGCAGCCCAGTGTAGAGAAATGTGTCTCTGTCCATGGCAGGCAGGTTGGAACTAAATAATTCTAAGATTTTGTTAATTTGTGCATGTTCATATGACCTGAGCAACTATTGATTTTGTCCAACAAGAAATTACAAGGCCAATCTCTTATTTCATATAAAATTTAATTTAGAACAACCATATTCTTTCTAAGTGAAAGAAACTGATATCTGTAAGAGATTTTTTCCAAGTTATTAACTTTTGGCTACTTCACATTTCCAGCATTTGAAATGGCTAGTTTTCTAATTCTTTATTCAATACCCTAATTGGCCATATTTACATCTCTTTTCAGTTCTTTGCTTCTGATTTTTTAAGACTGATAGAGACAGGAATGGAAGGGAAAGGTCCACATAGCTGAAATACAGGCTCTGCTCTCTTCCCTTTGAAAATGATATTCAAGTTTCCAGAGCTGACACTAAATTTAAGCTAACACTTTGTGACACCAAATCGAAATGTTATGAAGTTTAAACCAATTACTCACTGAGAGCATTTATCACTGAACACAACAGAGCAATAGAGATGCGCAAAATAGAAATCTGACTTTCTATTCATTACTTGTGTCTAGACTCTAGGACAATACGCAACCACTGGAGCAAACAGAAATAATTTTGAGGATGATTTTAAAGCCAATAAGGGAAGGTTTTACTGACAGTACGTGCCATTTGGAATCAGCTGCTTAACTAGTAATGAGATAATCTCTCTACAACCCTTTTTTACCCTTTTTTTCATTTGAGATCCTATAAAAAGCCTCCAATGGTGTAACTATAACTTGGCAACTCATCTGTACAATAGAGCTGACCTTTACAATATTATTTCAAAGACAATCCATAATTCTAATAACAAGGGATATACAGCACAGAAACCACACATATCTTGTAAGTTTAATTTCTGAACAACAGAAATTCTCTAAGGGCTACAGTTTAAATTGAGTCTGCTTATTATAAATGAAATGTATATAAACAACAAATTATGTCAGAGATGTAAACTCAGTAATCATGCTTATGTATATATCCATACACTAAAGAAATCAAATACTACAATCATGCATGGGAATAACATCAGAGGCATACACATTCCCGCTGAAATTACTGGGTTTACTGATCTGTAAAGCTATTTACATATATGACTATTTCTATCTCAAGCTGTTAATGACTTGTGCCTACAAATTACTTTGCTAAATCTTGAAGACTGATGTTGAGCCTCAATGCTCAATTCAATGACATTTTAAGATTGACTACAGATAGGTTTATATTAAGAGCTTAAAAAAGGTTTAAAAGCCATTTTAAAGCATAATTACAACTTTTCAAAGTTCTTTTTGCTCATATCCATCTTTAGGAATGAAACTAAATTCAACATCAGTCTTGGAAAACAGTAGGAATGCCACCATGGTTTTCCAAATTTTTCCCCCAAAACAACTCAATGACTAATAGATAACATTTTGACAGTGTCTACTATCATTGGGATTTTAAGGCTGTATATAGATATATCCCCCCATAGCTGAATATTAAATTAAAAAAAATTTTTTTAAGTAAATTTTTTCTTAGTGATTTTTCATTTCCTTTCATGTATGCAACTATGAGGAGAAAATACAAACAGCTGAGCAATGGTGCCTAATGTCCTCTGAATTATATCTTTTTTTCCACACAGGTGAAAGCAGTACAAACTATCCTTATCTTTCTTGGAAAAAACCCAAATGATTCAGTCTTCTCCCATTTGATTTTTGGGTGGGTTTTTTCTTCTTTTTTTTTTTTTTTTAAGGTCCCACAGAGAGATACAGTGGAACACAAAGGAAATCCAATTACATTTTAAAGCATACAGAGCCCTTATTTCAATCTACAGTTTTATTGTGCATTGACAGAATAAACAAATCCTGTTACTTTCTTTGTCACTAATTCTCTTTCACACCACCATGCTTATGCACCAAAAAGCACTAGAATCTCATATTAACATTCTGAGGTTTGGGGAAGAGTAAGTTGTCATGCCTTCTAATTAATTCATTTAAAAGAGAAACACAGGTTACAATCACTTTCTGTTCCTTTCCTCATCAAGGAGTTGTGAAGTTCTTTCACTGAGTAGTAACATTTTATATCAGTATTAGCCAGGTCATGTCATCTTATTGTTCTTCCTCGGTACACAGTGCAAGTGGCAACACACAAAGTAAAAGGAGCTTTTAGAAAGAATTTTGGAGTTACAGAAACACTTGGTCTCTGGCTCAAGAAGTACTTATGTATATGTAGATGAATGGTCGTTTCCTATTTATTATCGACACTGAGCCTCACTATAAGGACACATCTTGGATAAAGCCCTTTACTGTGAATTCCCATAGTTCACAACCATTTTAAAAAACGGTGGCATAGACACTAATCAAAATTTGTTAAAGAACACTTTTATAACAAATACTTTTCTTCATTTTATCCAGTCTGCTACCAGAAAGTGCTTTGCCAAGCATAAAAATGAACAGTATTTCCTGACAATATATAATAGTAACAGGCCCTCAAAAATGCACTTTTCCTATCAAACATCACCACACTAATTATGGGAAGACTATTCTCTTTTTAATAAATGATAGGGTTCAGATCACTTATTAATTCAGAGTGACAGTGTGAGTCATCAAAAATGCTAAGAGCACTCACTCTACCTTATCAAAGAAGCTGCAAAACTCATACCATTTCTA